CCCCGAACCATAGTGAACGGCTGGTTGTAAACCATTAATGCTGGTTTGAGTACAATGAACACACCCACGTCACACTACACTTACTATATCATACAGGTTTTGAAATATTCTTGTCATCTCCAGATTCGATTTCAAGTTCCCTATTTATTATAATTTTATAATCACTACAACCGCACACTGCTGGTGCGAGGCTATTTAATAAGCATCACACACTTGGTTTGATCTTAACTGAGATGCGATTTGGTGTAACCCAGGACGTGAATTTCAAGTAGACTGTAAATAACGCTGGCGAAAACTGTTACGAAGCATGTGTTAGCCAATCAATCTTATGCAACATAGATCTTGGAACATAAGTGGATCGGTTCGAGTTGCTAGTAATGGAGTCCTGGACACTCATTTCCTCCCTTTCTGGACTCATCGACTAAATGAACCTGCATCTCAGTATTGGTCTTCATAATGAGACTTGAACGTATCAACTTTTGCTTAAGAAGCTAACTCATTATGCACTGAGTTAATGAGTTCAATTATTAAGTTACTTGTTCAACACGTATGAAGTCATACCTATGTTGTAGAGATTAGATTCTTCTCTTTTTGAGCCTTGGCTCACGTGGTTGACTTCATAATAATCGAGTGGCATGGATGTTAATAAAATCTATACCCTACTTACTTCGTCCCATACAAGGACGAGACGGCAGTTCAATGCTTCCAGATTTCCCATGGTGGTCTAACTTTGGTTGACTCATGAAATCAACTATTAAATTTCTACAATCTTCACAAAAAACCCTTCTGATAAAACATATTTGATTGTGAATGAAAATTTCATATTTCAATTTATCATAAAGTTTTCATAATTATGTGATCAGTGTTACAAATCAATAATCAGAAATAGGTCAATAGCTTAAGAAATATAAATACTGAAATAACAGTCATAGCAACTATGAGATTATTGAATAAGAAGTGTTCAGATAATTGAACAATGAAGTGCATAAATTAATAATTCATTAAAAAATATCAATAATATTATTTATTTTTATTATTTTAAAACATAGATATTGATACAAAGAGGCACCAGATACATATGCGCCACACAAATTTCATTTGATTTGTGTGACGGCTGTGATACTGCCTGGGTGCCCAGACCGAAGCAGGTGGTTTGCTCGGGGGGCTACACCCGGAGCCTTCGACATGTAGGTCTGATCCACAAGGCAGTGGAGCAACGTAGGGAGATGCAGTCCTATGGTAGCCGGTGACTAACGATTGGTTTATACGCCATTTGTTCCCTCAGGGTACTGGAGCCCATGTGCACCACAAGTTTGGAATGAGGGTTTTCCAACTCCCCTAGGTGGACTCTCTATGTCAACCAACCCGGTTAAAGCATCGGACATTCGCTTTTCGTCCTTTAAATTTCGTAAACAACACCCCCTCCATGAGAAGGAAGTGAATAGGACTTCCCTGGCAGAGGCTATATACGCACGGCCATGTGAGAGCATTTCGAGAGGGAGAGCGGACTCTCCTCACTCTCGGCTGTACCAGGGCATTTTGGGGGTATGAATGAACATCAATTACGAGAAATATATAGAATGTAAAAAAATTCCAGATATTAGTACAATTTAATATTAGAGATCCATTGTTGAATTTCTTTTACTTTTTTAATTATATAGTTTATGAAATATTATTATAAGAATATTAATTTATTTGATGATTATCGTTAGTTAGTAAAATACATTAGAGAGCTTTAAGAAACCAAAGTTATCATGAATAATAGAATTAACATCTTTATTTTAACAGTATATTATTGTTGTGATGAGCGGTATTCAAAATCTGATACTGATACAAGCTGTCCAGTGCTTCCAGATTTTCCATGGTGATTTAGCTTTAATTAATTCATGAACTCAACTATTAAATCTATTTGTTATGAGATTTTATCATAAATAATTGTAAATTAAAATTTATTTCATAAGTGAATTAGATGTTTTTATTATGAATAAATTATTTACTCTAAATGTACACGACACATTATTCAATTTATCTGAGATAGAAAATGCTCCGTAGGTTTTGTCTGACAGATAATATATAGTCACACATTGTTAACTGGACACTTAAGTACATAATGAATAGTTTGTCCCGTGAGGGGCCAAATAATGATCAATAGTGCACAAAGAACAAGTGGATTTGTTGATTTAACATTTCATATTCAAATGACAAGTATAGATTGTGGAAAAATCTATACCTTTCAGTCTAGATTATTATCAAGGTATAATAATTAATAATTCTATGTATTAATGAGCGATACAATTTTAAAACACTAAACACTTGTAACCATAAGGTGAATCTTCACTTATAATTAAGAAAAACTTAATAACTTTTATTACTCTAGTCAAACCGAATTCTATTGCGATGTTAAAATTCATTTTAACATTCTATTCTGGGTAATATTGATGAAGTAATTAATTTTTATCATAATTTTTTGAATACTCTAGGCTTAAATGAGCTTACCATTTTCTAGGAATAAATAGTATAACGAAATGTTGATGAAAAAGTGGTGATTGAATTCAACGCTTTTAGGTGTCCTCGAAAATAACTCAAAAAAAGAGTTATAATTTGTGGTCTGTGTGCCCTGTTAATGTATAACGCAACGATACCGCCAATTAGAGAGCAGTGAATTATCGACCGAAACAATGCGCATGAAACACGTACGAGCAGTCTAGAGTACTTATTGGTCTTGCTTCCTGCCTAGCCCAGCCAGTTAAGTCCAGAACACCAATCTCAGCCTCTGCGATATGAATCATTTATTTCAAACATACGAGGTTTACATACCAATCAAACAGATCATATCGTACCATAAAATAGGAAACAACATTTGTACAAAAGTGGCTGTGAATGTGGGAGATAGTAATTGATAGACTGGGTATAACTCAAGAATAGTAAATCGTAAAATAATAGTTAAGTCAAAATGAAGCTCATAATAAGAAGGACATTAATATGAATAGTTTAGTTATTTAACAATTATACGATAAAAATATACGCATAGTATTGGTCCATAAATGGATCTCAGAAGTTAGCACTCATTATTCTTATCGGGACGTAACAAAATGTTTGCAAGATATTCTGTGACTTAGAGGATGAAAATTAATATGTTATATTGTGTAATGTCTGTTTCATAAATTCACTGATTAAAGTATATAAGCATAATCTAAAAGGTTCCTTTTATGAATTTTAGGTAAATAAAAGTTTTATTATTCACTAAATATATTTGCAGTATATTATTCAGTGTTATAGTAAAAAAAGTAGTATTGTTTACACAGACTAGTGAATAAAATTTAGGTAAAATAATGATATGAAAGAAGCTTTACCTTTTAAAGCCTCAGTGCTACTCAAACACACTATTTACCTCCGATAGTTCTCAAGGATGAAGGAGGGTAACTAACTGATATCTTTCACGAAGATATGAGGAACTTACTGTTTTATCATTATTTTAGTATGCATAAAATTGTCATACTTAGAGAGGACCTGAGTGATTTATGTAATAGTTAAGTCACATCTTATATGGTCGCTTTAGCCATATTTCACAGATTGAGCAAAACTCACGAAGTGTTGAGTTGCAATGAGGTGTTCGGTTTTCATTCAGGTCCTTATCCTCCACAAAATGCTTAGAAGCTGTCTCATGTATCTCAAACAAAAATTGTTATGATCTTTCAGAAAATTATTTCTTTGGTTCGTTGGCAGAACTTCCCTCTGAGATTGTATGTTAAACAAAGATAGTTTGAAAATAGTCAATATGCTTGTATATGAAAATCGGTTTTATTGGTTGTATGTTTGCTGGTTCACCATAACTCTTTGGATGGGCGCTCAGGGATTATAAATCCCAGTGGCTTGTCAGATAACACTAACGGAAGAAGCTATTGGCCATCATGCCAAAGTTTTCTTTCCATGTTCTTCATGAATAATAAGTTTCATGTTCTAACAGTAAAAAAGGTTAGTTTTCTTTTTATACAAACTGCATGACAGAATATATGCTATCCGAGCCTATTATTCATTTATTTAGTGGTTATACTGCCTGTCCGGTTCTTATTCTTGATAATTTTGTGTACCTTATATGCTTCCATACTATCATACAAATAAAAATAACAATAAGACATACAACATTGAACTTAGTATAAAATATTATTTCAATAAACCAGAGATTGGAGTAAATCAATAGATTTCCTAGGCCTACTAAACTGCTTATGATAGATCTTTTAGTATCAAAAATTTTGTCATTATTACATTCCTTCAACTGAAATTATTTTACATAATTAAAATCTAGTATACTTAAACTGTGAAAAAAAAACTTTTTTTCTTTACTTGTAACTAATTGACAAAAATAATTACAAATAAAGTAAGTTTAATTCAAGATTTGACATAGAAATACAGGGATTCACCTTGTTCACTTCAGTTAGTCTTATAACACACAGCAGGTATTTATTTAATGATAATCTACGTAAAACATTCCATTTTTAGAAAATACAAATTTATGAAATAATATTGATTGAAGTCTATTATAGAAATGAAGCAAACTCCTTTTTTAAAAAATAGTTATTCACGGATTATAAATGTTCTTATTTGGTTAAATATAATCTTTCATAGCTCTGATACAGAATACAACAAACAATTTCTGTTACGTTCATAACTTGTTCACTTCTTGATGAATGGATCCGTTTATCAGGAAGAATTTGATGATTAAGAGGTTACTTAACTACTTACTTAGTGTATAAACGGAACTGAAATGCTTAAACACTTTAACTGTTATCATAACGAACTTCAACGTGACTAAAAAACTATAGTCCATGTCACCAACGATATTATATTCTTGAATGCTTGGAACGTAGTTTGATTCGGAGATTTAGCCCCTTTTTCAAACTGTTTGTCACTCTTATGGAGTCCATTAGTTAAAAAAAGGCTTAACCAGAAATCCAGTGAAATTCATCCCAAAAGTATTCATTACATTGAAAAAGTAAATGTTGAAAACCAAATATTATAATATTTAAAAATATTATTGTTGTGAAACACTTAAGACAATAGGTTTATCCTATCGGATCTGTCCATATTAGTGTACAATCTGGATAAGTTTTCAAACTATTTGACATGTCAGAAACTGTTGATCTACCATTCACTATAGACTGTGAAACAAGGATTGTGAGATTAAAGCTTATAGTCAGATTCATTGGGGTTTACAAACGATTTAAATCAAGAAGAAATTTAACTAATTATTAATCAACAAAGAAGAAAATTTTTTTCCAAGGATATCGTTAAATGTTCAATGGTACACAAAAAAAACAAAACTTCTAAGCTATAACTATTAAAATAACTTTTTCTTTCTAGTAAATTATAATACTGGCAAGATAAGGGTAGATTGAAAAAATAAAAACATCTGTCAGAATTGTTTAAAAATAAATCTACCATCTGTTAGTATTTACAGAGATTGTTTACAGGCTGAAGGCAACTTTATGTGAAAGGATTTATACTACTACCTATATTAGCAAGTAGTTGAAAATTATGTGAAGTTTCTTGAAATTTGATATTTTCTGTCACAAGTTTAGACCATAAAACAGGATCAGACTGTAAAGTGTCAACTGTATCTAATAATTCGACAGTATAATGATCATTCGATAATATCTGACCAGTAGGTTTGTAGAACAAATCCAATTTTGGTGCATCATATTTCGCACCACTTTTTAGATCATAATCGCTTAGCATTAATTCTGATAGTAGCTCACTTGCAGGCTCGGCATTCACACTTAAAAATATTGAAATCTTCGGTAACCATAATAACGTTTTATGACTGAAAGAATAAAGAAAGTAAACAGAAAATAGTATCTCTTCAAAAACCCTTCAAATATGATCAATAAAGCAATGAAAAGAAAACAGATACATCATTGAATTTAAAGTAAAAGTAAGCACTGATTGTTGTAAGCTTACCTAAAACTCTTTAATTACTAATATCGTCTCACAAATAAGCAAAGGTCCACAGTGACCGATAATTAGGAACTACTTTATTACTTGGGAAGAGTCATTCATCTGGGAATCAGTCTCTGCTTACTGACCGAATGTTGCTGGCTATATGTTATTGCTAATGTGATCACAAGATTACTCAAATTTTGTTAACAATGTTAAACTCTTCGATAATTTGATGCAATTGCAGAATAACAAGTAAGAACTTTCGTCTAAATTTGGACGAATACTTTCACAGTATTTGGCAGCGGAGTTAATGTGAGACATTAAAGAGGAAGAATGTATTTGTAAAATCTCTATCTCAGTCAATTTGTAATATACTAACATTTCCCATAAAATCTCCACAACTTCAAATATTTAAGTATTCATTTTTAAAAAAGAATCAAAAGTATGGGTAAACATAGATATATCTTTACTAAGGTCTAACTAGCTAGCGATTAATTTTTTGGAAACTCACCGAATAATGTTAACCAAACCTTCAGTGTATGTATTTAATGGAACCAACTGCTCAAAATGCAATGGACTTTCATGGATATTTATACAATTTAAACAATTAAACTTGCAAATAACCGACCTAAAAATTGTAATTTCAATAAATACAGATATGAGTTAAATCTTACAGAAAGAATATAAATTATCTTATATCAGGAAATACTTTGGTCAATGGTTTTGCTTTGCTGCATATAGTGGTTATTTCACCGAACTTAACTTCATATTTATTAGTGTTCTAACACTAGTTGGCAAGTAGATAGGTAATGATGAATAAATTTAGTTTCATTTGTTTGTAACGTCTAATATAACTTCGTGCCAAATAACAGATGATCAAAACAAAATCAGATTAATGGATAGTAGAATATACTAGTAATAATATTCGCTTCAATTTAATCTAGTCGAAAAACGAAAAATACTTTAACACATCTCACAATATACCCAACGAAAGACAAGCTTAATATACATATCTCCAAGCTTATCGGCTAGTAATATCACCGCTGGGAAACCCAAAATGACTCACATAACAGTATATATACATATCTTCGTTTTTGAACCACTTTGTGTAATCCAACATAATATGTAAGTATCAACTCATTATTGCTAACAGTCAATGGTAGGCAATAACCTACTCATATAAGGTGGTCCGTCATATATAACCTAACCCCATGGTAGTGAGTTCTTAAAAGTATTAGGATCCTTAATGTATTAATTTAAAAACAGTTCGATCAAGCCTTATGATTAAGAAACTTGGTACAATTATGGCTTGAAAACATGCCGTAACTGACCCGGTGGCGAAAGTATAGTACAGGGATGACGCAATTACAATTGAGAACGTGAACCTACGATCTTAGCGCGAAATTCGAACATCACATATAACGAGCAGTAGAAATATATTTGCCCAGTGCTTAGGAAGTTTAAAATGGTGAAAAAAATCGTTTCTTCCTACCGTGAGGGAAAAAATGGATAATAGTAAACGTATCGGATGCCCATTTTTTCCTCTGTAACTTGTATATAGGGGGCAAATAGGTACTATCCATAAATCCCGACCCAAAAGTCTTAATCGTGAAACAAACCTTAATTTGTTGGCATTATAGTTCATGAGCGAACTAGTCAGACAGTGCCTCTTGAATTTTTTGATGAAATCCATCCATCAATATGGCTACAGTGGATTTTTACAATATAGATGATGTTAAATAGTTAAGTAAACCACAACCATAGTCCCCTTGTCTTAACACTAAATCTCCAAACCTAATAAGAAACAATGTAGGGCTTTTTAGAAATCTATTTGTTTTTTTTTTGGCTCGAAAAGACTGATAATTTATATTCATTTGGATGGATTTATAAGTTGTTGTTCTTTTATTCACAGACAGTAACCTTATAGTGAACGAGAAACACAAGTAGGGACAATCGAATGTATGAGAATACAAAATTACAGAACATAGTGAAATCTGAGAACCAAATAGTAAATACAAAACTTGCAAAATGTCAATCAATTATCTCAAACTTGACTGTTCCTTTTGCAAATACCAGTCAATCGTTTCAGACTTCATTGTTCTTTCGTTTCCACAACAATCATTCTTTGTTTTCGTTCTCTTTTCTTTGAACTTCTTAACCTTCTGCCTCGAGTCATTTCACTTGTGATTAATGATACATACTACTTATATCTGTCGACATCAGTAACTCACACTACAACCTGTGAAGGACTTTGATTAATTCACTAATTATGTAAAATATGTTTACATATTGTACGATGATTATTTTCTCTTAAAAAATCTATTCATTTACAAGAGTTCTTTTGCTGATTGGTTAAAAACTGGTCGAAAAATTTTCGCAGTTACTTTAAGCTCATCCCTATACTATAGTCTTAGTAATTTAACAATTCAAATTTCATGTAAGATTATTGCCTTTAAAAACTGTCATTTCAAAGGTAACAGATAGTTATTAAAAAAAGCTACTGACAACCATAAGCAAATAATAATTGTATATTTACATATTATTTCTTTTGTTAAGATTAAGTTATATTTATCACGAAAGTTAACAAACCCTCTATCTGATTTTGCTATTCTTTCAATACTTAATTCTTTTAGAGTTCCATCTTCAAGACTATTAAATAAGAGAAAAACAGGAAAATATATAGAAAGGTTAAATTTTCCTGAATAAAATTCACATTTCTAAAGAATAACATAATTACTTCGTTTTAACATTGTAACAATACTTCAGTGGGTTAAAAGTTCACTGTATCACCTCATAATGTTATTTACTATTATTTTTTATTATTTGAACACATAAATATTGGTACAAAGGAGCACCAAATACATATGCTCCACAAAAGTCACTTGGTTTGTGTGTGAGCTGGGATACTGTCCTGGTGCGCCGACCGAATTAGGTGGTTTACTTAAGGGGCCACTTCCCGGGCTTTTGTCTAATCCACAAGGTAGTGGAGCAACTTTAGGAGATGCAATCCCATGGTATCTGGTGACCAACAATAGGTTCATACGCCATTTTGTTTTCTTTAGGACCCCGTGAGTGGGTCCTCCATATCCACCAACTCGGTTAAAGCGCCGGACATTCGCTTTTCGTCCTCTCAATTTCGTAAACAACGACCCGGCGTGAGGAGGCGATGAGTAGGACTTCCCTGACAATGGCTGTATACGCGAGACCATGTGAGAGAATTTCAAGATGGAGAGCTAACTCTCGCCACCCTCGGCCGTATCAGGGCATAATTTTAACTAAAATATATCAACAAATGAGCAATTTCAGACGAATTCAAAGCTAACCAATAGTAAAATAAATATAATTGGATTTAGAATTGAAATTATAGTTGACAAATAGTTAATGAGTAATTTTGATTAGTTGTGGAGCATTAAAAGAATCAAAATCAAAGCTATACAATCATGGAACATGAAATTAAAAAATTCATACAGCGTTATTTATTCATAATTAGATCTGTAAATATGAAATTGAAATTGCAGTTAGGTGGAATGAATCTAGTTGACAGATTTTTAGAATTCTTAGGTGACTACAAAATGTTATTAACTAATAAAACTGATTCAAGAACTTTGAGAGTCTTTTTAGAAAAGCCAACATGTTATTCAATGAATGTGTTGGACAGAAATTGTGAATTTATTTAAACAACCTTTTTATACGTTTCTGCTTGGTCTAAAACTATGCTTATCAATAGTTAGCATCGCTAAAACTTATTCAAACAACTGGTAAAGTTATACTCAGTTTAGAAGCCGAAATCGCTGAGCTGAAAGAATATGGACATTCTACTGAGTATTTAGGCTTCACCTTAACACAGTGATAATGTAATGTTAAAATAATTTTGACGTAATCATGGAAAACGATACAGTTTGAATTAGCATGAAGATACCAAGGTCATTTAGGAATACTCTTGGTAAAATGTCAATGTAAAACTTAATTCACTAAGAAAATTTTATAGTCACCAGCTATTGAGTATAATTTTATTTTAATAATGGCGTTCTCACTCATAAGTGAACCTTACATTCATGGGTTTAATTGGCAGAACTTTATTTTCTAGGCTACAAAATCACAACTTCGTTATCATCCTATTTAACGAGTATCAATGTAAATATTCTTAGTTGATTAATTTGAAAACAGGACAAAAGGCAATTTGTCATTATATATAAGGACCATTATCAAATTTGAAGAAATTTCCATTTTCCATGAAAATAATAATTATCTAAACAGGATATAATAAACAACTCAGTCGTTAGTGAAGTACTTTTTCTAACCATAGAAACCAATCTATACACAATCGATATAAATAACTATTGTGATACTTTTGTTATGTAAATTGAAGCAGAGAGAATAGAATAATTAAAGAATGAATCAATTTTATATTGTATGACACTGACATTAAATAAAGGTACATCAATACAATACCGTTTTGATATTAACTCTGTATTGGTTGAATATTTCTTAGCAACTTTTAACGTGTTCTTATAGCTGTGTATGCTAAAACTTACTTTTCATTGGAATAAATGTGATAAGTATGTTAAGTGATGATGGATGGATCAATTATATGTTGATTTAAATGGACAAATATACAACCAATATTTAATGCGTACGGGTCAGTGACACTACATAATTGAACAAATAATAGTAGACATAGTAAGGTTTTAATTCCTGATCAATTTGTAGAAATTCACAGAAATCCATATACATAAAAATATTGAGATCATACTTAAAAACGAGTTAAAAAATCTGCAAACTAATAGGTTTTCAGATGATAGCTCTTTGTTTACATTTATGAAGTTTGAAAAATAATTATTGGTAAAATTACATAGAACTGTGATTTGTGAAGCCTACAAATGGTTTTTTAAAGGCTCAATTTAAATTGGAAACTTACTCTCCCCCTTTTTCTTCTGATGGTTGACTGGATTATGAAGACCTCCACATCACAAGGAAAGCACGGAATACAATAGACAACTTGAATTGTTTGTTTGAACACATAAATACTGGTACAAGGGGGCACCAGATACATATGAGCCACACAAATCTCATTTGATATGTGTGAGGGCTGTGATACTGCCCGGGTGTCCAAACCGAAGTAGGTGGTTCTCTTAGGGGGCCACACCCGGGACCTTCGACCTGAAAGTCTGACCCACAATGCAGTGGAGCATCGTAGGGAGATGCAGTCCCATGGTAGCCGGTGACTAACGATTGGTTTATACGCCATTTGTTCCCTCAGGGTACTGGAGCCCATGTGACCCATTGGTTTGAAGTCAGGTTTTCTCAACTCCCTTAGGTGAACTCTCCGTGTCAAGCAACCCGGTTAAAGCGCGGGACATTCGCCTTTCGTCCTCTAAATTTCGTAAACAACACCCCTGCCACGAGAAGGCAGTGAGTAGGGCTCCCTTGGCAGAGGCTATATACGCGTCGCCTTGTCAGAGCATTTCGAGAGGGAGAGCGGACTCTCCTCGCTCTCGGCTATACCAGTGCCTTTGGGGGCAGACAGCTTGAATGAAGCTAGACAATTTAGACTTCACAAATAACCTAGTTCTTTCATTCTATACACACTAACAAATGAAGGTGAAGACAGACAGTGTAGCAACAGCCTCTGCATCAGTAGGCCACAACATACACAAGGGAAAAACCAAGATCCTCAAATATAACACAGATGACATTAATCCAATCACACTTGATGGAGGAAACTCTAGGAAAAGTGAGAACTTTCACGTACCTGGACAGCATCATCAATGAACAAGGAGAATCGGATGCAGGTGTTAAGGCAAGGATTGGGAAAGCAAGAGAATCATCCCTACAATTGACGAACATATGGAACTCAAAACAACTATCAAACAATATCAAAGTCAAAACATTCGATACGAACTTCAAGATAGTTTTACTATATGGAGCTAAAAAGTGGAGAACTACCACAACCATCATCAAGAGAGTACAAGTATTTATAAACAATTATCTACACAAGATACTCAATGTCCGCTGTTGACCTGATACCACCAGTAACAGCCTACTGTGGGAGAGAACAAGCCAGTTTCCAGCTGAGGAGGAAATTAAGAAAAGACGTCGGAGGTGGATAGAACATACATTACGGAAATCACCAAACTGAATCACGCAGAAAGCCCTAACTTGGAATTCTCAAGGTAAAAGGAAAAGAAGACCAAGGAACACATTGCGTCAGGAATTGGAAGCAGACATGAGTAGAATAAATAGTAACTGGGAAGATCTGCCTAGGACAGAGTTCGATGGAAAATGCTGATAAATGGCCTATGCTCCTCTGCGAGGAGTATCAGACGCAAGTAATTATGTAAGAACTACAACATTGATTTTTTTTTCTATACACTATTTTAACTTGAATACAGATTAAAATGTACCATTGTAGTACATAAATTGTCGTAGATCCCGAAGTATTATAGACGACTTACGTAAACGAAAAGAAAAAAACATAAAAGTTTTCCAAATAAAGTATGTTAAAATTTTCAAGAAGTCAACCTACCTTAATTTTGTTAAGCTGCATGTTAAATCCTGATAGTCAATAAAACCATTCTTATTTTTATCAAGCAATCTTGTAATTACATCGATTTCAAACTTTGTAAATGGACACTTCAATGATAACAGAGCTGTTTAACATAATACAATTTAAAATATAATAAAACACGAACAAACCAGCTTTAAAATCATCATATGTAAAGTTTAAATCTGAGTAGTGGGCTGTTAAATGAAGAAGATTTTTTAATTGCTCCGCATGACATTTTATCCACAAATTTGAACGCTTTAAAAAGTCAATGTACTTTTCCTCATCTGCACAAAATTTGTCTATTTTAGCTTCTAACACTGTCTTTCAATGCTATTTAATACATAAAGTAATAACAAACCTTCTTTTTCCTAGAAGTCTTCAATCTTTTGCCATGCTTTTTCCCCGATTTAACTTTTTTCTTCCTAGGCATTTGTCTTATTTGAAAATTGTAATCTGAAACCTTTTAGGTGATTCTAATGGATCAAAATTAATGGAAATTATTGATCATAAAAGCAGAAGTAGATTGTCTAAAATGATGGAGAAAAAATAGGAAATTTTATAAATCATTTTATAAATCGTTGAAGCCTACTTAGGATAACTTAGAAGGATGACTAAATAGTACTTCAATGATTTTTTGACACATTAAAATTATAATAATAACTTAAAAGCTAATCAGTTGAAATGAATGATCAATGTTTTCAGCTTCTTTCTCAAAATGGTCTATGAATTTAATTCTAATTGTATAATGCTAAAGCCATACATTCGGTCGAGAGAAGAAATATGGAACCATTTTCTACATAAAATACTGTAGAAATTAAAATAGTCACTTCTCATCAAGATGAAGGAACGGGAAGAATGGTATACTCGAAGCATATATAGATTGTCGATGAATTTGACAGTAAACCTTCCCCAGTTAAATCAGTTAGTCAACCAATACCGACCTAAGGTAATTGAAACTAATATAAGTTCATGTATGAAGGTCATTTAGTATCAAGAGATTTTTATACGAGTAGCCTGGGGATATTCACTAAAAAATTGAATTTTCATTATTTACAACATCGATAAAAAAAATCCTGTAGAGTAAACTATTATAATTTTCAGGCCATCAACCATCATCTAAGTACAACTGACATCATCTAGTAAACAATTTAACCATACTTCGCAATATAATATGGTAAATCTTACAAATGAATAGTTTTGCAATACAATATCTAGAGATGATATGATCGTAATTAATATTATGTACCGAAAGCAATAAATTTGGCAAAAAGTATATTTTGAACATTGTAGTTTTTATAAACAAACTCGTGAGCTAAACTAGTTAATTTCGAGTCAATGAAAATTTGACAGTCTGAGACACTCAAAACGTTGTAAAATAAATATGCTTGTGCTCAGTTGTGTAAAAACATTTTGACTGAACAGTAAATTGTGCTGAAACTTGTTTTCAGCATAATATACAAAACATTTGAGAGCTGACAAATTGTATGGTGGTATTCAAATTAGAACAGATACTTAATAGATGAAGTTTTTGAAATATATGAAATTGTAAAACCTTTTATGATCTGTAATACCACAAAGTAGGTATACATTGCCATTAAAGTTGATAATCAGAGTTATATTTTTCAGTTGCCATAAAGACATGAATTCATATTATTAGGAATTTTCCAAGGACTAAAATGCAGATAATTCTTGAGTGCTGGGGTATGGAAGTGTTCAGAACATTGGTACGTTTAACTGACCGATATACGAGTAGAGGGGAAAAGGACTAGAGATGGTTAGATAAAGATATTGTTTTAGTCCCTGAAATTCTTGTTTTTTGACCTGAAGCTAAAACAGACTGAAAATATTACGAAATTTGTTTCAATGAAGGCGAGTTGTTTAATTTATTCTCTAACAAATGTGGGGTTTTATTATTATCTCTTACTATCAATTTCCTGAGTTTATTTGTTCCCTTAAAACTATATCTTCTGTTTTTAAATTCTCAGTGTCACTATTAGTATAAACTTAACTCTTATCTCGTTGAATTTGTCCCACTGCGGTCCCTAAAAGTGTGTGTGTGCCTCGCCGGCATAGATATAGCACCCAGTTTGAACAAGTGCTTCCTGAACAAAACCCCGTCAACAATTGTCCATCTGCAATCAGAATAAATGATCAAGTAAGATCTTCGAAAGATAAGTACATACGCCCCAACTGTTTGCAGATCAGATGAAGTAGATGAGTTTTATCGAGGGCTTTCTGACTTCCATCAAAACGCTCAGATGCAGTAATTGTTGGTAGTAATTTTAATGCATTAGTAAGTAGGCTAAGTTGGTCTTAAAGAAACTTAGACAAGTCTTTCAGTGCTCCAGTTCATGGAACTGCATGTCTAAAAATATGCTCAGACAACAATTTCTTCCTAGGAAATTATGTCGTTAAGCATAAGAAAATATATTAATTAACTTAGTGACTAACAATACGATTGCAAATATGGAAACGGACAGGCCATATGGCTATTATTTGTCATTGAAGAAGTAAAATTGGAGATTGCTGACTCTCTTGGAGCACGTATATAGATTATAATCAAGCTTTGCCGAAAGCAAGTACCTCATTGATTCTCACGGGAGGCGGAAGCGTCACAAAAAATTTCTCAGAGCTCAACTAAATGATGAAATGTAAAAGAGTATGTTCCAGAAACAACTAGAGGACCACGTAGTCAGTTACTAAGGGGACGTTCAGTCTGATGTAGCCTAGTATAATACACGAACTTATGTGAGATGGATGGTGTCAACTTTCGGCGGATTAAATAACAAAGTTTAGAAAATTAGTGGACTTCAATGACATTAAGTGAATGAATATGTGTTTGTACACCTGCCCGATCACGCTTACAGCAAAATAAAGGCTAAAGACAGCTTGAAAAGCTCCAGACGAAATCTTGTACATTAGTCGCAAGCAGTAGGAATAGATCTTTACCTCACAGTTTCACAGAGATGACACGGTTTTATGCTGTTTCGAGGAACAATCTAGCAGATTTACTTACTGATTTAGAATATGCAGACAGAACGGTTCTGTTTTTAAAGACCCTGAAATTATACGGAGTATTATGAACACCTTGTGCAACAGTGGATTCATGGGTGGGATGTGTTTCTCTGAGTTCACTCTACTGTCCTCTACCCTATGATCGTGAAACATAACCTTCTAAAGTAAATGTTATATCATTGATACTACTATTGTTTCGACCACTTTACTACGCTTCTTGATAAATTAATTTCGTTGACCAAATTTGGAATGAGAACTTGGGCTAATGAACGTTTGTGTCATGCCCTACATTGATAATGACTTTTTAAAATGGGATATCGAAATTGGCACGAAAAGCTGTGAATCTGTGTCCCTAGACAACAAGATAATTAATGCCCCAAAACTTCCTTTACGTATAGAATAAAAATTACTTTTGATATATGGCCTAAAAACTACAAAGTTTCAAACATGCCGTTTTCTGTCAAATGAAATTCAAAGACTACCCAGCTCTTGTTCCACAGCGTGTTGTCTGCCAAGTATACTAGACATGAGTTCATGTTAAGGAGTCTTTTGTGTACACTGACTTCATGTGTAATATAAAAATTCAAATAACAATAACTCAATTAAAAGACATAGAAATTCGTGACAAACCCTTAATAATCGTCGCTTAGATCAAAAATGATAAGTGTCATTTTTAAAATGACATGAAAAGACAGATGCTAATAACCATATCTGTTGATGAATTTTAACAAAATTGAAGCCGTTTGTTCGTACGGAAAAGTTAGATTAACTATTTAAGTTTTCGTATAAGCGGAAACGTGTGACTTAACACGTTCAGTTCTGTGAACATCTGTGGTATTTGTGAGAACTAATGATTGCCCGCTGATTACGAATTCCAAACATAATACGTTCATTTATACTCATCCTGTTCTATCTGCTTCAAACTGCACTATTTAGGGAATTCCTAGCTAGTACATTAATTGGATTACTTCTAATTATCATACTGGCGTTGCGAAGTAGTCAAGTCTTTGACAGTGAGATATTAATCTAATTGGGGACGTCTTCGAACACTACATAGAGTGATCCGAAATCTGTTGCACGACTAGAAAAGATAATAAAGATGATAAATTGGCGACCAATTTGAAGTTAACTTTGTGGTTGTTTGGTTGCTTGGATAAATATTCTGGATTTTAGAAGAATTTTCACTCACAAACCTAAAGTTTGTCCCAAAAAACTAATAAAGCATGTTTTAACTATGAGGCACTGAATGAGATTGATCTTCAGTCAGTGAAAATGTCTAATACTTAGCTTAGTCGTTGCGATAAACTACATTCTCATTGTCGCTCGTGATCGTTTAAAAATTGTTCTCACTCTCTTGGAAATATGAAAAATGACTGAACGAAGAATTCCAAAGCAGGTTACAGAGACGAGCACCAGCCTGTTAAACCCTAATCCTGTGGTAGATTTAACCTACCTAACTTATGTCTTTTGTCATCCCAAATGCTTAAAGTGTAGTAGAATGGGACACCTCCAGTCAGTTTGTAAGACTGCTGTTCTTTTTTCCCCAAATCGTACACAATTTTGTGATTCGGATCCTATTAATTTTTGTGATATTAATAGTCATATGCTATTCTTTTTTACAACTTCCAGTATGTCACTTCATGTTCAGTGGCGCTTTTTCACGATTTTACTGCTGACACTGCTAGTACTAAATCTGTAGGGCCAGTGTAATGTCACTTGGCCCTAGTCAAATCATTCGACGGTTTGGTCACTGCATATCGAACAGTTCATCGATCCCCTTCAATATCAAGAACAACTATCGCTCGTCAGTTATTCGCACGACATGGAATGGCCTATGAGGTGGTAATCTCACTTTCTCTTGTATCAACTATAACAAATATAATTCTGTAATTATGGTCTTTGTACTGTACGCTCATTAAAACATCCGCAGTACCTTATCACGACGATGGGGTAATCAACGTCAGGTGCTAGTTGCGAGGTGTGATTTCGACGTTAGCTGTTATTCACACTATTCTCGTCTAACTCGAGTAGGCCACCAATCATTCGACACAGATAATCTACCTTGGTGATCTACAAATCCATCATGTCAGCTGCAAAGTCGAAGTCATTAAATATCGATGCTATAATTACAGATTATGGAATTCCTATTCTTGGGTGTTGCCATTCTCTGATTAGAGACGATATATATTGTGAATTCCTCATCATTGATTGTCGATCATCTATCCGCGTCTATAACATTTAAGAATGCTTCAAAGTCAGCGTTCTTATTGACCATTAAAGACGGTTCTAAAGAAGTACGTGATAACTTTGAAGTGGTGCATATAAGTTATTCTAACTTCTGGACAGACTAATCTATTAATTCTTCTCAAGCCACACTTCCATTTGTCATTTATTCGCCTATCAACCACAGCTGCTTTAAGTGTGTGAGTTAATTACTTGTCCCATTCACTACGTGCCTGTGACTTATTTTTGCCTGAATAATGATACAAGTCAAGTTTTATTAAATAGGGTTGGCTTATTCTTCTTCTTCACCGCGCGTCATTTAGCTTCGCTCTCTCCTCACGGCTTTCTTAGTTTTGTTTCCGCAGTTGCATGTCCGGATCAGTGAGTGTATGAAATGTACAAATGCAAACTCCGTTCTCCTGTTTCACATAATTTTTTCGTTATTGTTTAACACTAATTGGGTCGATATAAATATAGCATAAGATCCAACTGGAGTCAGCTATGGGGCACTTAAATGTTGCTAACTTTGGAAACGAAGTGAGAAGAGTTACGCACGACTCAAAAGCCTTCTCATTCGGATGAGCAAGCAAGAAATGTCAAAGCCTTGAAAACAATCATCAATTCTATTACTACTGAAGAATTCAAAGACGCGGAATAAGAGTAGATGAAGTCTTCCAGTGCTGGTGGAGAAGATTTGTAGCTCAGGTGGATGATTTTGATGGTACTTTGTTCTCTAAGGCGGATGGTTTGGTCGTGGAACTTTCATCGTTCTTTTGAATAACATCATTAGCACAAACGTCAGGTAGAAGTGAAGTGATCGAATTTCTCCACTCGTGATTCAAAGCTTGTTCTGTACGCCTCGATGTTGACTGTTTCTTGCTGACCTTAATCCTGTCATTGTTTACTTTTTTATTTTGGTTGTATATCTCATTGGTTTATTTTCGTTCCTATGTTTGTGCATAAATTTCCTGGTTGGTTGATAAATTGAATCGATTTAAATGTACTCTTTGACTGCTGACTGACCTAAGTGCAAAGCTTCTAAGAATTCTCTGGTGTTTCTGGAATTGCCGCTATCCAAAATCTCCACATTTTTCCGGTGGAATGTGTGCTCTCAGTTGTCCACTTGCATTTACATAGGTGAGGACACGTCATGGCGTTTGACTGCTGATTAATGTTCATACATGCGAAGATGAAGAGGGCATCCGCTTTGTCCGATGTAGTGTTTTACGCAGTTGGCACAACTAATATTGTAGATGATGTTTGGTTTGTATTATGTTGTCATTTCATTCTTTGGTTTGCATAGGTTTGTAGTGATTTTGTTGGTTTGCGTGCAATACATATTCCGAAAGTTTTCAGCAGTTTCGCTGTCGCTTCTGATATGCCTTCTATGTATGGTAGGGTGATGCTTCTGTTCATATCTGTACCTGGCCTTGTTTCTGATGATGCGTGCTGTTGGTATTTTTTGATGAAGTTGATTGGGCAGCCATTCTTTTGAAAGACGGTCTCCGGATACTTTTCCTCATTTTTCGCGCTGTGTGTTGCAGTGTGTCCTCCCCGTCTTGGACAAAGTTTTGATTTTGTGAGCTCTTCGGTTGTTACTATCGAGGATGAGAATTTTATCTGTGTGGGTTGGCTTTCCATACACGAGAGCCAGAGACCACCCACCCAAAAAACTCTGCGTAGTTAGGTTTCTTGCCCATTCACATAAGGTACATTCAGATAGGAATGATGGAGGCATGCGTGGTCTACGAATCGCATATATCATTTGCACATGTATGAGCACCACATGTTTTTCGAATTAAATTGTCGAGTTACGTGAAATAAGGGACGTAACTGATGCTTATTTATCGACCTTGGTGAATTTGCATAGTGTTCAGTGAGATTGTCTAACAATTTGAAATGTCTGACTAGTGTTACTCACAGTGTACATAATGTTGAGATCCAGTATAAAAATCGAATGCTGAGAGGATTAACCTGTTTTTTAGTCTAGGACCGTCGTATCCTAGTCCTAGAAAGGCTTCAAATTTCCTTCGTGAAACATGCTCATAATGATGGGCAAGACTCCGACGAAGGTCAGTTGTTCCGCTCCACTGTGAAAGTATAATAACTCAAAAATATGGAATCAGCGACTCGATAAAGACGCCACCATTGCTCTACCAGGACAAAGTGACCATGTTCTCATAGGCTTCAACCCAACTTGTAAAGCAGTACTAAAAAATTAAAGGACGCTAGAATTTCAGATGTTCAGATGTGCTGACCTCAGACGACAACCCATATTACATGAAATCGTTAACCTACCTTCGTGTCATGGTTTCTCTGATTAATGTCACGTCCAAACCCACAAATCAGAATCCAGAATCTGATTTGGTTTATTTCATGTCTCTTATTTACTTCATAATTTAGTGACTGAGACTTGACCAGTTACACGCCTGCCCAACACTATTGCCTTTGAATTACTAGATATAGTCTTATTGGTCTGTTATATACATGCGTTTCTCTACAACTTACCTTTAGCCTAAAAGTCGGATATCAGTCTTTACTATATTGATGTTTTAAACGATCGCGGATGACGTTTATATACTCGACAGCATCACGCGATAACATGAAAATTGACAGCTGTAAATGAATAAGACAAATATGGCCGTGAATAGAAAAGACTGTGAAAAGTCGACAGGTGACTAATTGGAAACGGAAAACTGAACAGACATCGTGAGTGGATTCACTGAATGCTTATAATGAAAGGAATATATATGGATGGTAATCTAGTTACTCAGTCATTAAATAATAGGAATATTTTTGATGATAACCTATGTATTAGTTGAGGGAGTCACCATTCTATCAGTCTCCGTTCCGATATATCGATTAGCCATTAACAATGAGGTTACTCCAGCTTGTCAGAGATACGTCCCATTAAGGAATAGGCACTTTCAATTAAAAACAAATCTGTCACTCAGCTTTGTTTGGTATTAGCGCTTATCTTTTCCTAGTTCTAGTGAGTACTAGTCCCTTGCCTGTTTGTACTGATCATATATGCCATCGTTGTAAGTCCATCTTTAGAGCTTTAACATTCAAAGGGCGTGATTCCTTATTATCGTTGACACCAAAATGGTGGCAGTTGTTGTAACAGAACAAATATTGTCGAAGTTGAAATTGATGTTTCAAATCGTTGAGTTGGAATTTTGTTGTATATCTACATATCTTCTTACTCTGTACTCTAAAATCTTACTCTGACAGAGACAAGAACCTCTTAGTACAGACCTTAGATTGGTGACTTGAATCATACATTATACCAGTCTAGCATTAGGACTTCATCTCAGGTTTCGGAATTTTTGTCCAGACAACTCAGAGCACAGTAATGCAGTAATTCCCCATTCACTTTAAAAGGATAATAACACTGAAACGTATGCAAAAGCAAGAGAGTAAATCACTTCTAGTACTCAGTGTCAGGCCTCATGGGGAACGCCTCAGATCGCTGGACG